CCGTTGAAAACCTGTAGTCAAAAGATCACACCTTCAGTCCGTTTCACTAAATAACTTTCACTAAATTTACAAAGGGGGCAAATGAAATGGCATTTTGGAAAGCTCTTGACAGGTACATCATGTTTTTGGATGAGTCACCATCTGAAGTGGACGCTTTTTCTCGCTTTGATGCTACCAAACCACGAAAAACCTGCTGCCCTGCACTAAAATACGTTTGGGTCAACGCCTGACGTCTGCTTGATTGGCATGTGTGTCCGACCCCATTAGCTCCACCCACTCTCACACCTCATTTCCCCAATTCGGCTACGTCTGATCACAGCAGCACTCGTGGCACACTTAAGATTTAAACTCAACCTACGGCTACATGTCGTATCTTCACCGAGCGTCTACATCCTCTCCCTGGCATTTTTCTCAATTGCTGTGGCGTTGTAACATTATTACAGGTCAGGAAACGGGGCGCCGAGAATATATGCTGCTCATAAATCAGGTGAGTGGTCGTCATCCATCTCACACGGAGGACCGTGGCACATGTCCTCAACCTGGAACATATCCACAATAACACCTGTCGTCAAGAGGCCTATATCTGGCAGAGGGTGAGTCTCTCTCCCTCTTTCTCCCTCTCTCTCTGCAGCGAGAGTGGGAAAACAACTCCATGTGGCAAGCCATCTCATTTCCAATATCATGTGTGTGATCAATCTCCCCCGCAATGAACGGCCGGTGCAGTGGAGGCAATCATTCAACGTTTGTGGCAGGTACGCAGTATTGACCGCGTGAAGATGAACCACAGGCCTCTCAATATGTGTGTGTGTGTGTGTGTGTGTGTGTGTGACAGAGAGAGAGAGCGAGAGAGAGAGCGAGAGAGAGCTTGGATTTCAGCTTCCAGTTTTCAATACCTGCATAAATTTCTTGAATTTGATCTAGAAATATCAACATCAATCAGGGGCATTGTGTGCCGAGCAGTAACCAATGGCAACCTCAACCTCACCAGTTTTCAGGAACCTGGAATTATTTGACATTAAGTAGTAGTTCTTTTGGAGATAAACTATATGAGCAAAAGGATGCGTCTCTTCCCTCTCTCAAAGTTCTTGCTGATAGCTTCGTGCCAAATTTAACGTCCTTAAATATCAATTACAAAGTCAAATGTCTTGCTGTAATTGAATTTGTGCAGTGCACTGGCGTCCCCTGTTAGGAATCACTGTCTTGTCCAATTAAGAGAAGCCTTATTATTGGGCAAATGGCGAGCAGCCCCATTACAGTGGGGGGAAGGTGCTATCCTTTAACTGACATATTAATGCTGACATCCTCCCGGCCCTGTGCATCGCTTTGGGTGTGAACACTGTAAATGCAGAAGACTGTCAGCATGTCCTTGATTTTTTACTTCTATGAGAGCGAAAAGTCTGGAAAGAGAGGGAAAAATATATGTTGTGGACGTAGTGCAGCGGCAGCAGATAAATACACAGCGAGAGACGGATGATGAGCGGCTGCTATCTAATGGGAACCAAGGTCTTGTTGCCGTGGCGGGTTTTATTTACGGCTCCTCTTCATCAGGGTGACACGCGGGCCCTCGGACCATCCGTATCAGGAACTAGAAGCAGACACGGGACACCGTTTACCGTCTCCAGATGGGAACAGCTTTTTACATATGCACGGATAACAGAGTGATGCATTCACTGAGTTATGGGTAATGCATGGCTGGAAACTACCGGGAGACTGTGGAAAGGAGAGCCTCATTTGTCTGGGGACTCATCAATGTCTGGCGAAGAAATGGGGACTAATGAGAGCACAGCATCGGGGAGGAGGGGGGGGGGCTAAATCTGTCTCAATCAGTGTCAAGAAATGTAATTGTGAATCTACAACTGTCATCAGGGTTCAAACGGGCAACCCGAGTTTTACACGATATTAAGTAGAAATGTTCCCGGCACTGTAGAGGGGAAACTTTGAATGCAGAGGCAATCAGTGAGGGCAGTTTGTTAAAAAATAAATAGTAAAAAAAACAGGGTTTTTTTTAAAGCAACTGTTCCGAATAAACTGAGCTTTGGTGTCCACAGGGGTAAATGGTCCCTGGTTTGTCTCATTAGAAAACAACCACGAACAATAAAAGCTCTCGACAGCCAATTTTAGAGTGGTCTCATAACTGCTCTGTTGATTTGGTTTCAACCAACACAATATTTATAATCAGAGGGACAGTAAAACACATCAGGTGTGGACTGAATGCGATCAACGTTTTGTCCAACCCAAAGAAAGACTGTTTCGGGGCTCTAATGTGGTTCCTTCAACAAAACGCGCTTCCAAGGAAGAAGCTGTGCGGAGTAACTGAATACAAAAGATAACGGGCGTGAAGCAGATGAACTGTGGTGGCGGAACGAAGAGGGAAAAATATCACAGCCTTTAGGAAATGGTCCGATGCTTGTGAACGCCCTTTTTTTATTCTATTCTCTATTCAGCTCTGCTTCAAGTCCGTCCTCAGTACCCTCCGAAGCTCCATCTCACTCTGATTGTATCCGTGTTCTGAGGTGAGAAAAGGAATAAATGCATATTTATTACTTCAGAGAGCCACAAGTGAGACCTTACATGAACTCTCAAGTTTTATTTTCATATGAAATGAAATGCAGCCGTGTAGCACACAGAAACACAAATCATTCTCTCGCAGTGCAGTAAGTCAACAAACGGGATTTATCTCACTACCGTACCGAGCATCTTTTGTATAGCGCAGCGCAAGTGGCCAACAACCGAACGGATTCTGCGTTCAAGGCAATAAGTGCAACCGAGAACAGCTCTCCCTTTTTCTTTTTAAAGAACCAAGAATAGCAAGTGCACCAGAAATAGAACAAAGCCAGTCTTTGTCCACGGACCACTACAATCCCAGAAGAGATGCAGGATAACTCACTTTTGATTCTTCAGAACGGACCAAACAGATTTCCTTGCTAGTCTTTTAGCTAAGCAGCTAGTCCCTACGCACAATATTTATACCACATTAGCATATGTGAGCTGCTTTGTGCAACCAAAGGGCTCTTGTGTTACCCTTCAGAAAAAAAGTTAATCGTTGCTAAGCGTCTTTCTGAAAGACATTTTGACCACATTAATGTCGCCAGTTCACTTTACCCACCCAGATCCTCTGAATGGGACCTCCTCTAATCTGTAGACCACCGGCTCTGTGTGCACTCTGATTTACAAGCAGCCGGGATAACAAGTCCCTGCCCTAAATATAAAACCATGATTAAGAATACGCTGTTCTTTAGACTTGCATTTTGTGACATTACTCTGCCGACACAGAGAAATTATTCTTATATATTGCATATTCTATACAAGAAGGAACATCTCTGAGCAAGGAGATGATATCTACCCCAATTTCTACCAAGACAACTGCCTCAATAAGCCAACATGCAATGCAGTCCCAGGATGCTCATCCATACAAATGATCTGCTGCAATGACTTGTACGATGCAGCTTCAACATCCCTGCGTGAAAGTACACAACAATGTGAGGGCATCCAAGAGTGAGGTTGTGCTTCTACATCTCACATGATGTGCTGTTTTAAGCAGAAATATAAATAATTATTCTGTTCGCCCAACCATTCAGACCACATCAGCATTCCTACAAAGAGAAACCCCAGCAGAAGGACAAATGAATACGTTGGTATACTTATGCATGGCGAGGATTAGTATGGCAGATATGCAATGTATGTTTTTGCACTGTTCCACCCAGAGTACAAATGCAGACAAAGCATTACTCAAAGACGGCTGTTTTGAATGTAATCATCTACAGATAATAGCAGTGCACACTGCGCAGGGGTTTCTGCAGCGGATGTGTGTGTGAGTCTGTTTTGTGTGTTGCCAGTCAGCGGGAAAGCATGTGCGATAGTGAATTCATTGTTCCTGGGGGAGTCAAATCAAGCCATTTAATTTCCTTTAATGGGCTGACACTAACGGGTTTGATTGTCTCCACTGAATTTCTTTTAACCCAGGAACAAATGAAAAACACTATATATAGTACAGAGTACTATAGTACATAGTAGTATAGTATACGTAGTATAGTACATAGTACAGAGCCATTCATTTTATCTTCTTAGAATGAGTGATTCGGTTGATAAAATTTCAACCGGATCCCCGTGCTATCCTGAGGAAACTGTGGACAAAAAAGGACACTTTTCAGTAGAATGGAATCAATGTTGGGGTATTTTTGCTCCGGTACAACTGCATGACGCAACCACAGCTTGTTAAACATTGTTAGATACTGCAGAAAGAGGCCTTTCACCGTGGAGTATATGACATATACAGTAAGCAGCTCTAGTTGATCAAAGAAAGCTGTAGTTGCCCGAAGTTACACAATCTGGAATGTAAATATGACTAAATCAAATAAAACAACCTGATGTCATAAACAAAAAGGAACCATACAGCCTCAAAATGTTTAAAACATTACTTGATATGACACCAGGATATTCACCTTCTCGCCCACGCGGCTTCTTTCCATTCCATAAAAATGAAAGCAATTTCAAACTGGCTTTCATTGCCCAGAGTGCCGTTTACAATAGTGGTTACAACCAGCACGGCTTCTATTAAAGCCATACAAGCTGGAAGAGAAGAAACAAAGGGAGGGCGGTCCGGCCCGGACAGAGTGTTCATTTATCAACAGACACCTTTCAAACACTCGCCCCGGGGCAATGGCGAGGGAAGCATCCGAAGAGATAGCCCGTAGGGACTTCTGCTGGAAACGCAGAAACCCCTTTGATGAGCCATTGCAGAGCCTGTGTCTGATGTGCACGAGTGGAGAGCCAGACACAAGCAGCCTCTGGGCAGAAGCCGGACCACCCCCCCGCCCCAAGAAAAGAAAGTTTAAAGGCCGCAGCTGCACCCCTCGATGCACAGTGCCTCATGGGGCCAGAAAGCTAAAGCTAACGGCTAGCCTCCTCGCTGTAATACTACTCAACGGGGATCTGCTGGCCGTCTCCTGTGGGAACAGTTGATTGCCACCAATATTAGTGATAAAAAAATCAGGGCTTACCTGAGCCTCTCTTCGACACCACTTTCAGGGAATGGACCACGGCGGCATGAAGCAGGATCACAAGAGGAATGGGAGCTTTCATGTTTTACCAGTCCTACAGGGAAACAGAGGCTTAATTCATTATTCTGTACAAATACATCCCCAAAAGAAAAAATATATATATATATATTTTCATAAGACCTATGGTCAGCTGGAGAAAATCCAACACGTGTGAATCCCGTTCCCCAAAGTGTTTGTCTGCCTCTGCTTTATTTATACAGGTGGCTCTTAAGGGAGCTACTGTATAATCAGGAAGAGGCTGTCGGTAATACGAATGTCAAGATGCATCTATATCAAGACAAACCTGGCTTTGCAGCTTTGTCATCTGTACAGAACATTAATCCCACTTTCCTCCGAGCCAACATGACATAATCCTTAGATCATATCTCTGTTAACATACAGTGCTTTGTGAGCTGCGTGACGCGCCGGGTAGGAACGTGTATGGCCGAACTAACAGTAACGTAGACGGTCATGGCGATGGGAACAGCAGGACGACTCACTTGATGTCAGTCAAACTCTGGGTCACGAAAGACCAGTTGATTTTGAGTAAGTAAAGTCAGTGACAATATCTATATATATATATATACACATATACATATACACACACACACACACACTTGCATATTAGTTGAATCCCTCAAGAAACTTGGTTTCAGCTAATATTAGCTTCAACCATGAGCACTCATTAAGATAAAGGATGGGAATCTTACGCTTTATTGGATAGTAATGAACACCCTTTAGCCAATCAGCACAGGGGATCTACCATGACAAAAAAGGTTTTTAGTCACAATTTAGCCAGATTTTGCCAGTGGCTAAAAGAACTCATCAGTAAAACTCCCATTGGACCCGTCCGTGAAACTGCATAATTCTTTTTGTTTGGTTACTGATTAATCCCCTTTGCTACAGGCCAAAGAGCCGTCTCTGCAGCGGCTCGACACGACGTCCGCGTAGGCTGCGAGGGCGCATCCATTGGCATTTCAGTCACGACAAAGATGCTTCACATGGATTCCACAAAGCTGCAACAGAAAGCCTTTGAGGGGAAACCCTGAAAAGCCACAATAACCCTTGAGACACTCACAGTGGCATTCAAAACTGGCCAGTGGTCAAAGACGGCGACATTGCTGGGTTCTCCCCGTCAAAGGAGCTCTTTGTCGCCAGCCCCGGCCTTTCTGCAACCGAGGCCACCCGAGGAAAGCTAAAAACGCCAACACACAAAAATCTTGTCTTTTTAATTAGATTCCCATGTTGGCCGCTAGTCTGCAAACCCGTGCATAAACGCTGCGGCCCTTTGGTTTCACGTCAGAGGAATGGGCCGCAGCGCCGGTTCCGCTCGGTGGGACCCGCTGTTTACCGTGATGTGTCCCGGCCCGCTCGTCGGTAAAAAAGGGAAACAACGCGCCATTAGGATGCAGCTAATTGTTTTTTGTTGATACCAACTGCACAGATGAGTAATTACACAGTAAAGACATGTTCCGTGGGGTGCACGCATTACTTCTGCATGTGTGCAGAGAGCTGTGGATTGTGGATTAAGGGATTAAATATATTAAAGAATCATACATGAAAACACAACGGAGTGATTTACGTTAAGCTCGAGTACGGCCGCTTGGAGGAAAATGGCTCCGGAGGTAAGTTTCACAAAGCCGTTTTAAAAAAAGCACTGATCTCAGTTTAAATTCTGCTAGCCAGTGACCGTCAAAGAGAGAAGCTACTGCAAAAATCACTTCAGAGAGTGTCATATCCCCATGTATTGGACATTGTAGCATAGTGCTCATACAGCATCTTCTATACTACAGTAAACAATACAAAATACTATCATCTAAATTCTCCAAGGACCAGGATGACGTCCCTCCTTTACGGCCACAGCTCAAACGACCCGCACCCTTTGTGGAGGAGATCAGGGCGAGTATGAAAGCCGCCGAGCTCATCTGCCAGCGACACACACACGCATGGATGCCAACAAACGCATGATTGCAGTTGTTATTTGCGTCGTTATTGAGATGCCTTTCAGAGCCCCACTCGACGCTCCCTCTTTGTGTCCCTAATGGCTGCTTGTAGTCTGCCGCCCGTGTTGTTATACACTTCTTGCAACTGGAGGCATCTTCTTTCGGCTCCGAGTAAGGAACGCGGCCAGCCGATCGATGCACGTTTGCCGGTGAGTCTCCGACGCGAGAGGCGGGAGAGCCGCTCCAGCTCTGTCAGTCTGTAATTTAACTCCTACTTATACTGATGACTTGAGTACCTCAATCAGCTGGGAGTGGGCTCGCAGGGAAAGAAAGAGGAAAATAGTCTGATTGTTGGAGATGGAGGTGCATGAAGCCCATGGCCGGCAGGAATGTTTAAATCCTTTGCTGCTTGGTTGCTGCAAAGTTTCACCAACTACACCAAAAAAAAAATCACGGTTTCACTCTGCGCAACGGATGCTGGTGGAGCGTCTTCAAGAGGACGGCCACCTGTATGAATGATCGAGCTACTTAAAGGCTTATCAAGGTCAAACAGCCAACACGTTATTAGTGATCATGGAAAGGGTGTCGATGTATTATTGTCACTATCGTCTCCCTCTTTGGCACACGGCTATTAGCCGGTGGTGAAGTGAAAGATTCAGTGCAGCTGTCTAACTGTCAGAGATATGATCTGGAACACAATAGAGCAGGGAAGAAAAGCAGGAAGAGTTATCCCCCTTCACCAAATGAGCGAGTACTGGACGTGCCAAAGAAATGTAGAAATATATGAACTCAGAAAAAAAATAGTTTTCCTTTACAATGCGACGATGAAAGCTCGTGCCGTCGAGCATCTGAAAGCGTGCCATCTTTTAGAGAAAAGCTCATCCGAAAGGTGCCGTCACCTGCCCCTCATTCTTTGATTGTTTTTTCCTCGAGCATCCACTCTCTCTCCTCCCTGACAGCGTTTCCTCCTGAGCGGATTCATCCAAAATTCAATTACTTTCGAGGAGGGTTCAGCAAGAGAAATGGGGCACTCTCTCAACACTCTCGGGGCTCCGTGTCGGCCCCCGAGGAACGCCGCTCCCTCGCACGCGCAAACAATCTCCTCAGCCGCCGAGTGGGGGCTTTAGTGCTTTAGCGCGGCTGGATATTCAGATGAGGATTCACGCCGATCCGTCGTTGCGTGGGTCTTCTCGCGGCCGAATCAAAGCACTGCTCGTGTTTGAGGCACCTTTGTGGGACCTTCCCCATGTCAGATACCAATAAGCACTGACAGCAAGAGGCATTGACAGGTATGCGGGCATTAGTGGCTGCACTTGTCCTGCTTGTTTGGTAAACATTTTGGCTGCGTACGCTGGGGAGGGGAACACGGTTTGACATTTTGCTCCTTCTCTTCGTCTCGTTCTCGAGTGAGACAGGCTGTCCCGAGTGTCACTATGATGAAACGAGGTCTTAATGCAATAGGGGTTGTTGCCGTGTGAGGAAAACATCATTCATTGACACATTTCTTTATTCAGAAGCACATTTTTGGTTTGATCGTCAGAAAAGAAGACCCCAGCATCCCCGGCCTCCTCCTCCTCTGAGTTTATTCATTCTAATCCAGTGGATATTCTGGGCAGTCATCTACGACGCTGTAGTTGCAGTATGAATTTGCACCCTCTGTCATTACCCTCAACACAGATACACACTCTCAATTGTCTCTCTCCACGTGTCACCCCTCTGCCCCTCTCCTCCTACCTGCAGGCAGGAAACCGATATGTACTCCGCTTGGTGAGTTGTTAACATTTCTATTTCTGAGGGACACTCTTTAAGCCCTTACACCCTTAGCTGACGCACACACACGCACCCACACAAGTCTGTGCTCGGCTCACTGAATTATTCCATTTTGTATTATCTAATAACCTTGCAATGACGAGCCTCTGCGTTCCTGACGTGCACACATCAGAGACGCAGAGAGAGGAGGTCACTTCACGAGAGCAATCGACGTACATGTTCAACACCGTGAATGTTCTTGAGTCCACACTCGCTCTGCCTGAGAGTAGAAAATCACACTTTCTCCCTGCCAACAGTGACAATTATAATCATCGAGAGCCCAATCAACAATCAAATAAGACACACAAATTGTGTGTGGCGACCGGTATGCGTTAGTGCAAAGAGAAAACAGAAGACATGGTATTGCTTTTTAAGAATCGTTGGCTCGGACATTGCTTTGAAATATGATGTTCTAGTAGTTGACAAAGATCTCATTATTTCTACCGTCATGTAGAAACATAACTACTCAGGGATATTAACAGCATTAAAAACAAAATGTAGTTATGTAACTGCATATGTTGTGGAATATCATGCTTTAAATCATACCATTAAACAAATATAATTATGATGAATACCAAAGACCTTAAATGGAATTTATTTTTGTGGCTAAATAAATATCTATGGTGGGAATGTTCAGCTGAAAAAGCCAGCAGAGCTATTGGTTGGTCATTTAACTGTTAGTAAGTGGTGTAGAATTGACAGGAGCTGCTCTCTGTGGTTGAAATATGGCGGATACACTACATAACGTACAATTGATAATCCTTAATGTTGGTCAGGGGAGCTGTTAGTGGTCAGCGTGAAAAAAAAATCCACTTTAAAAAGACCTGTATGTGCGCGCACAGGGCCGTGCACGCACATACAAACGGTCTTTGCAGTCACATCAGACGCTTTGTCCCATTACCTGAGCTGCCTGCTAACTAGATTCTGTACCCTGCCAAAGGACGACATTAAATGAACGGATCTCTCGCTTCAGGATATTCCAGGCCAGAGCTAAGAAGACCAAGACAACCGGCTGGAATAGCTGAGAGGGGGACAGGGGGGGGGGGGGTCGGAGGCTATGAGAGGGAGAAGAAGAGAGAGAGAGGAGAGGGACACGAGAGGCTGTTTCGTTAGATGGTGCTGAGCAGCAGAGGGGCAAATAACTGGATAACGGTCAGGTCTTGTGGGAACTATTCCGATTTTCAGATCTGGCTGATTAACATTTGAATTTCACCGAAACTGTCTTCTGTAACTTTCTATAATGAAATGCGATTTAAAAGAAGAAACCAATTTGTTGCATCGTCACAGCACATTTTCCACTGAC